CGTCCCGGGCAGCCCACGTCACCATCTCTTCCTCCTCACGAGCTCTTAGTATTCCCTAGATCATGCAGCTCCAAGCTAAGCAGAAGGGATAAAGTCTGGAGGAGAAGGAAAGCACGGTTAAGGAAGAATCTAGAAGAGTCCTATTACCAAAATTCTGGGGACTTAGCCTGCAAATGTAGATGTGAGAACGAGTCAGGGCTCTAGCAGGTACATATCTTGGTTTTCTCAGGTTTTCTTTTCCAGAAGTCAGTCGCAGTTTCTGAGACAAGATGCATGTTATTACATCATCAGACGAAGGCAATTAAACCCATATGTGAGTTCCCTCCCATCACTTCATTGTCCCTTATAACTTATAACCAATGACCGGGGACCTCATAAATGCCATCAAATTGAAATATTGGTCTTCTCCTATTTTAGAGCGAGTTCTCTATTTGCTTTTCCAAGAGGGGTGTATCAGAGAAAGATTATGCTTGTTTCCTTTATAGTTTATGCTTATCAAGTGAAGCTGGAAAGCTTTTGAAAAGACAAGCTGCTAGTCTGAAAGAAATGAGTCTAACAGTATGTTGTTACCCTGGAATGTACTTGGAAAAGTGTAGCAATGTGATTATTAAGAAATACATTGATATGTCCAATCCTTACCAACATGTATACCTAAAAAGTTACCTTAAAAAATAACAAAGCCATAGATGTTATTGAAATCAAAGCTTCAGGGGCACCTGGGTGGCTCAGTTGGTTAAGCATCCAACTTCAGTTCAGGGCATGATCTCACAGTTTATGAGTTCGAGCCCTGCATTGGACTCTGTGTTGACAGCTCAGAACCTGGAGCTTGCTTCGGATTCTGTGTCTCCCTCTCTCTCTGCCCCTCCCCTGCTCATGCTCTGTCTCTCTCTTTGGAAAAAAAAAAATAGAAGCTTCAGCTCCATGTTTTAATGGGGTATGTGTTTTCTAAATCAGTTATCTCTCATATTTGTCCATACTTCACTTGCTATAGGATCACCAGGTATTACTTGAAGTTGAGATTCCGTGGGGCGCCTGGGGGGCTCAGTCGGTTAAGTGTCTGACTTCAGCTCAGGTCATGATCTCATGGTTAGTGGGTTCGAGCCCCACGTCGGGCTCTGTGCTGACAGCTCAGAGCCTGGAGCCTGCTTCAGATTCTGTGTCTCCCTCTCTCTCTGCCCCTCCTCTGCTCACACTCTTTGTCTCTTTCTCAAAAATGAATAAATATGAAAAAACAAAAAGTTGAGATTCCAGTGCCCTACCCCAGTCCTGGCATATACCCTTCCCAAGGGGTTCTGATTCTCTGTTAAAAGGAGAGAGGGGGAGAGCGGGAGGGAGGAGGAGGAAGAAAAGGAAGAAGGAAGGGGTAAAGAAGAAGAAACTTAAAACCTAAATAAATTGCAAGGAAGAGCATAGCTAACTTTTTGGAATCTGTGAATGAGGGCCTTGTTTGTGTGTTTCTTCTAGAACCTGACCAAGATGGGTCACACGGTTGTTGTTCACATGAATAGAAATAAAGAGTTAAGACCCTTTTCCACTGTCCTCACTGGACGGATAGTCTGTCTATTTAAAGTCAAACTGAAGTCAATATAAGGTTCATTTATTCTCCAAATTCAGACCAGGGGGCTCAAGTTGACTTTGAGGAAAGACATGCTAAGTTCTTCCTTACCAATGTACCTGGCCGATTTTCACCTATTCATTTGTCCATCATTCCTTCTATACACTAAGGGCTCTCCTCTCATGTAGTGGATCTTCATGAACGTACAGAGCTTACCCAGGCCTATCAAGAGTGAGACAGCTTCCTGGGGCATCTGGGTGACTTCACTCTGTTAAGCGTGCAACCCTTGGTCTTGGCTCATGTCACGATCTGCCAGTTCACAAGTTCAAGCCCCGCACTGAGCTCTGACAGCACACAGTCTGCTTGGGATTCTCTCTTTCCCTTTCTGTCTGCACCTCCCCTGTTTGCGAGCCATGTCTCTTTCTATCTCTCTCTCAAAATAAATAAACGTACCAAAAAAAAAAAAAAAAAAAGAAATCCCATCAGCCAACTTGCAGGGTAAAATGCAAAATAAATTGGGCACATGTACACAGAATGAAAAACCTTAGATTTCAACTGTTATTCTGTCTTTACCAAAATGTTTTCCTTTTAAAAGTTACTTTAAACTAAAATTAAAATAAATAACATGAAAAAGGCCTGCAGAGTGATAGATGTCTGTGATAATTCTAAAGCAAGAAAGCATATAACCACAAGTATAATTTTAACATATGCATAAGGTGGCCTTATATGTTTAATCCCAAGCTTTCTGTTCAACCGACTAGATATTCTCTTTTGTGGTTTATTATAAAATGCATTTATTCATGGACATGAATATGCTACAGAACCCATATAAGTAGCACACACGCGGCTTTTTAAAAAATACAGTGATCCCTTTGAACATTTAAACGCTGTTTTTAAAAGCTTAGCATGCTCGTCCGTATGAGTTCACTTCCTAGAGTATAAATTTCATGATATGACACGCAAAGTTATAAATCAAAGATACCATAAGAAAATGTGGGCATGCATGAATCCCTGACTTCACCGAGACCAAGTATTTGTTGAAATTTTAAAGTTAAATACTCTGCCACACTTTTGGACATTTTTTTAGCAATTCCCAGAGGTCATGATAACGGTTTGAGGACAGTCCCTGATTCACACATCACGCCTCTGCTCTCGCTGTGAGGCTGGATACACCTTCAAGTTCGGGGTCGCCATGGTTAGTTTTTTCACTCTTGGTCTATAGTCCGTGTTTAACATACTTTAGAAAGATTTCCATTCACATTTCTGAACATCTTTTAAAGAAACTATTGAGCTCTTGCCTTCATTTTTTTAAATGTTTCCTGTTCAAGGGTAGTATTGTCATGCTAAAATGTGCTGCAGAACTCAAACCTTGTTCGAAACTAAAATCAAGATGGTGACAGAACATTAAACAAAGTGTGGCTCTTTCTAAGGCGGGGCTCTGTACGGTTGCACAGGGCGCACACCCATGAAGCCAGTTCTTCCTAGAGAACTTTTTGAATTCTCTGATTTTTAAAAGTGCATTGGGAGGGGCGCTGGGGTGGCTCCATCAGTTAAGCATCTGGCTCTTGATTTGGGCTCAGGTTCATGAGTTCAAGCCCTGCATCGGGCTCTGTTGTTGACAGCACGGTGCCTGCTTGGGATTCTCTCTCTCTTTCTGTTTGTGTCCCTCCCCTGCTCACTCGCTGTCAAAAATAAATAAATAACATTTAAAAAATTCATTGAGAAACACACTAAGGAATAAATTGTGTTGGCCTTTCTGACTTAACTATGAGAAGAAATATACACAGAAGATGAGGTACTTGAGGGGCGCCTGGGTCGCTCAGTCCATTAAGCATCTGACTTTGATTTCGGCTCAGATCATGATCTCTGGTTCTGAGTTGGATCCCTGAATCAGGCTCACTGCTGTCAGTGCAGAGCCCACCTCAGATCCTCTGTCCCTCTGTCTCTCTGCCACTCCCCACTCTCTCTCAAAACTGAATAAACATTTTTTTTTAAAAAGATGATATACTTGAAAAAGAATCATAGGTATAAGAGGATGACTATAGATGGTTGTCATTATCATTTAACAGGAAGAGTTATCATAGAGTGGGAAATGTGCAGAAGAATGGGGGGGGGTGGAAATTGGAAAGAGTCTAAGCTTTAGCTGAAGAGGAATCAGACTTTGTGATCTATCTTTGGCAGGTCAAGTGCATCTAGATAGACCCTGGCTGTGCTCAGTTGTGTGCTGATGGAGGCACTAGGGGTTAAAACGTGGAAGTGCCATTCTGGACGAGCCTGTGGAGCCCTCCCGCACAGGGTATCAGTGAGGTGGTCTGCCCCGAACAGGAGTGTGCATGGCTCTTTTTGACTTTATTGTGTTACATAAATCCTCAAGCCTCACACACAGCCTGCATGATCCCAGTGCAGCCCTCTCTCGGCACTTCTAGAGGCCAGGAGACGGAGCCCTGTCCCTTCCCCACGGAGCTCAGGGAGGCGTAAACTCTGTTGCAGGTGGTGTCTTATCAATGCGCCCCCAGCTTGGCGCGGGCCTCCCTGGGGACGGAGAACACGTGTGCTGAAAGAGCAGGGGAGAAGATGGCAAGAGACGGTGGGGCCGCAGTTTCCCGCTACGAAGGCTGAACCAAGGGGCTTAGGACAGATACAAGGGGGCGAGTTTGGGAAGGCGTTCTGTTTTGAGTCCCCACACTGGGAGAGCAGCGCTTACCAGAAAACCAGACACCCGAGGAATCCGAGTGTGGGGCCGCAGTTGAACGAATGCCCCTTGCTACGTACTCACACCGGCTCCCAGGTCATTGTAATACAGGAAGGAGGGAGGAAGGAATGGGGAAGGGAGTTAAATGTCCATTTCTGTTCTGTTACTTAGCTCTTTTCCACTACTTGGGGGCGGGGCTGGGGAAGGAAATTCAAATATGCGCAAGTACGAGCGGAGCCTGGGCGCGAGGTAGAAACTGGAGAGGAAACCTACAACTTGGAGGCGCTGCATCCTTCCTCCGGCAGGTTGGCCGCCTTGGGGGTCCCCAGGCCCGGGCGTGCTCACACCTGCGGTCTGTTACCTGGATGCGCGGGGGGGGGGGAGGTGCGGGCTGCGGGAGAGCCCGCGCGGGAGACCGACCACCCAGAGTGGGGCGCACGGGAGGGGACCGGGTGCGCGCCGCCCTGCCTTTGAGCGCCGGGGCTCGCTGCCCCTTAGACCTGCCCACGGCCCTCCGCCCGGCCCCCCTGTCACTCACTTTCCTTCCAGCCAATGGCGCGGCCGCCTGTCACCCTCGCCCCACCCCTCGAGGCGGCGCAGGGAGGAGGTTGGCGGGGAAGGCGCGGGGCTGGAGTTGAATGATTGAACTTTCCAGCGGAGTTGCGGCGGCCGCGAGGTTCCCGGCAGTGCGGCCGCGGCGCGGAGCTGGGAGCCTCCGCCTGCGCCCGGCGCCCGCGCCCCCGACCTGCAGCCATGGTGCCCGGGGCGCCCGGCGCGGCCCTGACCCTCTGCGTCTGGCTGGCGGCCTCCGGGGGCTGCCTGGCTGGCGGCCCCGGCGCGGCGGCCGCTCGGCGGCTGGACGAGTCCCTGTCGGCCGTGAGCGTCCAGCGCGCGCGCTGCTCGTCCAGGTGCCTCAGCTTGCAGATCACGCGCATCTCCGCCGTCTTCCAGCACTTCCAGGTACGGGAACCGCCGCCGCGGCGCCGCGGGCCGCGGCGCATGCCTCCCGGCCTCGGCGCCCAAACTTGGGGCCGGGCTCGGCCCGCGGGCCCCGCTTTCCCTCCGCGTGCTTGTTACACGCGGGGTTGCCGAGCCCCCTTCCCAGCCGCCGCCTCGCTGCCGAAACGAACCAGAAACCGGCGGCGGCTTTCCCAGCTCCCCCTTTCCCGGCGGAAAACGAACGGCGCGCTCCGTGGGGAGGGAGGGAGCCGCTTGCAGATTCCGAGGGTGGGTGTGTGCGGTTGTGAGTTTCCCCGACCGCGCGCCGGACTCCGGGCTGCTGGCGAGTCCCGCAAAGTGCCGGGCGCTGGAGGGACGCCGCGGGGCGCGCTCAGCTACGCCCGGGGACCCGCGCGAGCAGCCCAGCCCCGCAGGTGCCCGCGGGCCGACACGTTGGTCTCTGCGGAGCGCAGCTTCCACAGTCGGGGGGCCCGGAGCTCACGGCACGGGTGCAGGTCGTGCGTTCCAGAATGTGTGGATAGGGGAAGGCGAGGGGGCGGGTGGTAGCGGTGCGCGCCCCGGTTTGGAGCTCCGGAGCTTCTGGGTCTTGCCAGCGGATGGTGTGGAGAGTAAGGGAAGAGATTCAGGGGGACACGGGACTTTGGGGGCCGCGTTTGGATGCTCCGAGAAGAGCCCCCGGGCCAGTGACTCCCCCAGCTTGAGGATGGGACAGCGTCTGTGTGGATGAGTAGGAACGTAGGAGGTTCCGGGTAAGGCGCGTTTGGCGCCTGTGGATTCCGGGGACCCGTGCGGGGAGCCACGGCAGCAAGGGTCCCCGCAGCCTTGGCGTGGGAACCCGGGGTGCGGGGGACCGCATCTGCACCGCTTGCCGACTCTGCGGAGGCGCGTCCTGTTGCGTTTCGCAGCACATTCGAGGGCGCTCAGTGTGAAATCACTCACGCAGACGCCTTATTTCTCTCGTGTGCCATCGTTCTCTTCACGGCCTTCTCGTCTCTATCCTTAACGGCTCACCTGTTCCCAGACTTTACCTTCCTTCTTGCCGCAGGAAAACCGTGGAGGCCAGAAGGAGACCCGGGGCTCTTCAAGATCAGTCCCCTGATCTTGGGAAATAAACTGAGCGCCCCTCCCACCTGGGCAGGGTACAGGGGGCTTTCCAGGGGGCCTTGGGTATGAAGCGGCGGGAGGAGACGGTTGTAAGGACAGTAGAGTTTGGGACGAATCTCCATGGCCTTGGGGATGCCCCTCCTGGCCCGGGAGCTAATGCAACCTGGCGCCGGAGGGCACAAAATTCCAAGTTGGCATCTTGAGAGATTGCGCCCGCTCGCGAGGTGTGCATGTCCGTGAGTGCGCGTTCCCAAAGAGCAACGTGGAGTGGGTGGTACCGGCACCTTCTGCGGTCCTCCTGGCTCTTCAGAGAAAGGGAAAGCCGCGTTCTCCTGTCCTGCGCTGGGATGTCGCGCACGGCCTGGAGAGGGCTCCTCCCCGGCCACCTGGTTTCCAGACCGCCGCGCCCCGCCAGTCCCTCTCCGGAGAAGACGTCCCACTATTGTTTAATCCGCCACAGAAAACAAAACAAAACAGAGCAACCCATTCTTGGAGAGAAAGAGTATCTCTTCGTTCCTTCCTTTCTTTCTAATTGAATTGTCAGTTGCTGTAATTTATTTGTTTTACAGTTTAAGCGGCTAAAGAAGCAGTTTAGATCAAGCCAATTCCCCTGAAAGGCTTTTCTTCTGGTCTCCTGGCATGATCTCTCTCCAGAAGAAAAACTGCTGACAGAATACACATTGCCAGACAATCCTGATTACATTTTAATTAGCTGGGGTGGGATAAGCTGCAAATTACTCAGTTAGGACCTAATAACTGCTGTTTTTGAAATCAATTGCCAAGCCATTCTCGGAGGTTTAACCCTAACCTGGTAATGCCCATCTGATTTACCTAAATTGCACGGATTAAGCGTTCTCCAGATTTGAAAAGGCAGCGCCACACTCTGCTTATAAGCCCTCGAGCCTCCCTGTTCCTCCCCCTTGTTAAATAATTGGGAGGCGGTGGAGGAGTCAGGCTGGTACCCGCTCCTTCAGGGCAGTGGTGTTCATTAGGAGGCAGGAAAGGCCGGGCGAGAGGAGGCTTGTGGAACAGCACCTTCTAAGTCCTTCCACCAACTTGCCCAAATTGGCTGGAGCAGAAGCCTGTTTCTGGAGCAGGTGAACCGTTTTCTCTTCTCTCGCACACTTCGAGGCATCTTTTTAAGGATGGAGGAGGCTGGTCCCTGTCCTTGCGGCCAGCCAAGGGTGTGGACTCTTAGGCGTGAAAGCTGTCAGGGCTGGACTAGTGAGAACCTCTGCCCTCACGGTGTAGACAGAGACTCAGCTGCAGGGTGTACACTGCCCTGGGCCGGCACAGGAGGCTGGAATTGGAGTATCTCCGCCCCAGCTCCACACGCTTCCCAGCCACCTGTGAGAGCTCTGGGCCGAAGGGCCGCGGGTAGATGGTGGGTACCTGGTGCCTTCGCTTCGGCGGTGCTGGGCGGGCGTCACCTGCTGGCCACGCAGCCGTCACCCGGGCCGGGAAGCCCGCAGGACTCGGTGCTGATCCACGCAGATGGGAATGGTGACTGGGGACTTGGGGAATTATCCGGCACAGCCCCTGGCCTGGAAGACCTTAGAATCTCATACTGAGAGGGAGATGGATGGGTGCACTGCATCGTTTTGCTCGTAATGCTGGCCCCCTTGATGGAAGGAAACAGGACAAGGTGGCACCTCCCAGGACCTCGGGTCCAGCTCCCTGTGCAGGGCCTTGGACACGTTGCGGCTTGGCACATATCATGTACACAGTGCGGTTAAAATCCCGCCAACAGAGGTGGTTGGGAAGGACGTCCTTCTGTCTGTGGAACGAAGGTGAGGCCTGGGCTGTGGGGTGTGGCACAGGCCTGTGGGCTGTGGCGCGGGCAGACCTCCCCCGCAGGCTTTGCCACGGCGCAGATGGGTGCCTTGGGCACACCGCCCCCTTGAACTTCCCGCCTCTCGTGTGTCCCGTGGGAGACAAGTAGCTGCCCGGCGAGGCGCAGATCATAGAACGTGGTGGGGATAATGAGAGTCGTGGCGGCGATGCAGCTGACGCCACCTGGAAGATGAGGATTAAGGGCAGACTGACCTCGGTGCCGGGCGAAGCCCATTTCCTTTAATCCCCCCAGCAACCGCGGAGGAAGGTGGTGTTTGTTTCTTAGCTGATAAGGAAACAGGTGCTGACAAGGTAGGTTACTCACACAGCTAACAGGTAGTGGAGCTGGGTTCTGAGGGCTGTAAGTTCTTATTTTATTCTTTTCTGTTTTTAATTTTTTAATGTTTTTAAAAAATTTTTTTGTTTCCTGTTTATTTATATTTGAGACAGAGAGAAACAGAGCATGAGTTGGGGAGGGGCAGAGAGAGGGAGACACAGAATCTGAAGTAGGCTCCAGGCTCTGAGCTGTCAGCACAGAGCCCTACACGGGGCTCGAACCCGCGAACTATGAGATCATGACCTGAGATGAAGTCGGGCGCTTAACCGACTGAGCCACCCAGGTGCCCCTTTAATGTTATTTTTGAAAGAGAGAGAGAGAGAGAGAGAGCGAGCGCGCGCGTGAGGGGGGAGGGGCAGAGAGAGAGGGAGACACAGAATCCAAAGCAGGCTCCGGGCTCTGAGCTGTCAGCACAGAGCATGACGTGGGGCTTGAACCCACAACTACGAGATCATGACGTGAGCTGAAGTCGGATGCTCAACCGAATGAGCCACTCAGATGCCCCAAATTAATCTTATTTTATTGGTTAGTTGGTTAAATTAAAAAATGTTTTTTCAAGTTTATTTATTTGAGAGACACAGCGTGACTGGGCTAGGGGGAGAGGGGGAGAGAGAGAGAATCCAAAGCTGGCTCAACACTGTCAGCACAGGGCCGGATGCAGGGCTGAAATTCATGAAACCGTGAGATCATGACCTGAGCTGAAACCAAGAGTTGGATACTTAACCAGCTGAGCCACCCAGGTGCCTTTATTGGTTGGTTAATAGACTGAGTACCTAATTTTTGGGACCTGGTGCAAAATGAAAACATATGGACCATTATTTCAAATATCAAGGAAAAAAGAGTGTTGTTCAAGGAACTAAAATATAAAACACATTTCCTTCTGTGGCTCTTTCAGTTTGTCACGGTGTTTCAGACTGGCTGTTCAAGCTGTTTACAGTAAGGAAAAATTGAAAATTAAGTTACTAGTATGGATTAAGAAACATTTTTTTAACATTCATTTTTGAGAGACAGAGCATGAGTGGGGGAGGGGCAGAGAGCGAGGGAGACACAGAATCTGAAGCTGTCAGCACAGAGCCCGACACGGGGCTTGAACCCATGCACCATGAGATCATGACCTGAGCTGGAGTCAGATGCTTAACCAACTAAGTCACTCAAGTGCCCCTAGATTTTCCTCTTCCTCTCTATATTGTTCAGTGCCAGTGTTACGTGCAAATGTCAGAACATTTCACTTGTATGCCAAATCATGAACATTTTACAACTTGTCATTCGTGGCTCATGCCTGGAGGGTGCCTTGAGATGGGCTAGAGGGAGAAGAAGCCAGACTCAGGAAGCAGGGGAGGGAGAAGAGAGAACCCCCCTCCCAAGTGCACAATGTGGGGCATGCCCAGTGGGCATCTCACAGGAGGATTTGCAGGACACATATAGATATTCACAGGTCCCTGGGGCCAGCCAGATGCGTCCGTGCTTACTCAGGTGTGATGCTTGGTACCTTGTTCTGCAGGCTTCTAGACCAACGCATTGCACTTTGTTCTAGATGAGGTCCTCAGGGTGTTGGATCAGGGGTCTCTGTCTCCTCATGCTCAAACCACAGCAAGTGGGCAACCTCAAGTATACTGCGGCCCCCTTGCTGGATGCAGGTAGATGCCTGCACCTGGGATGGGCTTGCCCGTTGGGTGTCTTAGACTCTGGCTGGTTACTCACTCACCAGTGTGGTGTTTCCTGTGTG